CTGTTATGTTAAACCTATATTAAAGTTTTTCTTCATTACCCATTCAAGCCGTCTCCAGCCATTATTAGCTGCTATTTGCCCTGTACAGATGGCGACACTTCACTGAAGGCTTTCAATTGAAAAAAAAAGGGGGGGGGGGCTAAAGTGTTACGATATAAAAAGTGACGGCGGATGTACTGAAGCACAAAATGCTCTTATTAACACTTAAAATATCTATAAGAAAGTATTTGAAGAGTTCCGTCAATTTCTTTTTTAATTTTATAGCAAACCAAATTTATCAACATTTCTGTTAGAGTACGCTAGTGATGCGCGTTTTTCAAAAGAAATAGTATGCCAGGTTATAGGTTTGTGCCCTGGTATAACTTATTGTTACTAATGCAGTAAAAGTTGAAAATAAAATTTTTTTGTGTAGAAAAGTATTATAGGATTTATTTATGCACATTATATCGTGTGATATTATTTTGTTGATCACACAGCACTCTGGAAAAACGAACAGTTTTGCATTACAGTAATAATGTTTAGACAAGATGAACGGTAGAAAAACTGTATAAAAGCTACTTGGATTATTAATTGTTAAATACAGGGTCTACCCAAAAAATTCAGAACCCTGGTGCCTCCCCTACATGCCTCATACTAGCCAAAGTTTTGGTACAATTTCGAAGTTTACTTTTCCAAATCTAATTCTACTGTTTTACCCATGTCATTTTCTCACACCACCATCACAACTTTTCTATCAACCTTTAACCTATTTGGACTTTTTGGGGCAACAATTAAAATGTAAACTAACTTTTGATTAGCACCTTTATTAAAAACAACGACGCCATAGCATCGTTTAATGGTAAATCTACGTGAAACCTTTACGAGCTTATATGTATATATAATCAATGATGTCGTCAAAATCAACTTGTTTTACAGTTTACTGATAACAGAATGAAAAAGAGTTTAAGTCGATCGGGTCTTCGGGCTCTGTGATCCAGGATGCAATACTGTCTTCAATTATCGCCAGACGCGATGAATTTTGTATAAGCAAGAAAATGCAAATGGAGTATTATAAGAATGAGTAGGGGTCTTTCCAAAGTAGTCAGTCAGTTTCTTACATGATGTTCAATGATAATATTCCATCTAGAATATTGGTTATTGTTCATAAAAAGTTCTAAAGTTGACTATCTCTCTGTTAGTGTTTCTGATCATTACCCTTTTCTATTATATCAAAAATTGATGAATCAAAATTATGATTAAAATAATAAATTAATTTAAATTATTACTTGTAATTATTACTGTTTTTAATTATTCCAATAATCGATTAATCAAGATTATGATTAAAATCAAATGTCACGAAAATAACACTGGCCAATAAGTCATTTTTATCAGATATAATTATAGGTGGCTCTTGGGACGCGGATTCCAAACTTGTTTTTGGTGTTCGTCTAGAATGTCAAGCTTTTTGTGATGAGCCCGATCAAGTTTGAAAGGTTATTGCCTGAATTATAACTTAAGTTGTTGTACACTTCTTTTTTTCATTAGTGTGTATTGTATAAATTTAACCAAGTGTATGGTGTGTATAACGTTTATGGGAATTATATTGAAAAATGAATAGTTATAATGTTTACTAGCCTAATGTGTGATTATTACCTTAATTGTGCTGAAATTAACACCAGTCATATTTCGATAACTAGATGTGCTAGAAGAAAACCGGAAACAGATTTGGAATTAGCTTGTAAAACTGATCTAGCAAAATGTGTTTACATCTTTGACGAGAGAAAAATGTTCGATTTTGTCGACTAGTGTAATTAACTAATGAAAAATAGTGTTTCCAATTATTCAAAGCTACCAAGATTATCAGCCACTGTCACTAAGTTTGAAATGCTAACTAGAGGGAAGGCAAATAGATGGCAGCACTTACCACCAACTTTTTTTTTTTTCGTACGTACTATCTTATACAATTTATTATAAAACTAACTGTGGTGATATAAAAAGTAGTTGAAAAGGATCTTGAAAATCACAAATTATCAGTGAGCGCGGTAGCTGTCCCTAAATGGGGACTGGTCAGGTTGAAATTGGCGACTTGTACATTTTATATACGGTAGCGCTGATGCCAGGACATCGACAAAGGGACAGCTGAAAGCCTTTCAATAATCAATTACAAAACTGCCTCTAAAGTTCGTTTGAAAAAAACAAAAAAAAAACATTGATTTTCTTCTTCTTTCTTCCTTACCGTCAGCAATAACTCATAAACAACTGTGTGCCTACTTCCAGCCTGTACACCAAAATATTTCAATACTCCCTTGGATGTGGCTTTCAAACCTAGAGCTCCAAATGATCCACGATAGATTAGTACAGCCCAAAATATATGGAATGATACAGATTGTTTAATATTGCCCAATACGCGTCACTCAATAGGTGGCGCTACCTGTAACGCTAACCGTGTGCAGGAATTTGTAACAAAGAATTTTATTCCAAAATTGTTGGGATGTTTGGAATTAAGCACAAAGCTACGCAATGGGCTATCTGTGCTCTGCCCACCACGGGTATCGAAACCCGGTTTCTAGCGTTGTAGGTCCGCAGACATACCGCTGTGCCACTGGGGGTCTGTTGGGATGTAGGAATGGAAAAAGTTCAGAAACTGGAGAGCATTTGGGATGGGAGGAAAAACTGCATTACCCATTCCTGCATTCCACCAGTTATACATTGTACTCACAGGGTGAATGCATAGGCGTAAGGTGGTGGAATATGCAGGAATGAATTATACAGAAATGATCCCAAATGCTCTCTAGTTTCTGAACTTTTTACATCCCAACAATTTTATAATTATTTTTTTTAACTAGTCAGTATGATCTTATGAAAACACTCCTGGTCTCAAACGTGTGTAAACTGACACTATTTGTTCAGAACATGTTAATTTTTATTCACATTCCTTAAACAAATTGCAATACAAACTTTGTTTGAATATATCAAATGGGAAATCAGTAGACAAATATTTCTAAAAAAAAATAAGTGATTGGTCTATACAAATACCAATTACCAGAATCAGGCAAAGTGAGGACTGGTGTCCGAGTGATGGAGCCATTTCGTCCAAAAACTCGTCCCGCTTATTCATAGCGTGGAATGCACACGTGCATGTCTTCTCGGGGCAACACAGACCTGTATTTACAGGCTTTAGCATCATTGTAATAAGAGGAACATTAGACATGATGTCTAAAATCACCAGAATTAAAATATAACACGATACATGTTACCTAAGTCATAGAAGCATTTATATTGTCAGCCTAAAAGGTTACAAATTTTTTTAAAGTGCCAAGTGAATTTAATGAAAACTTTAGACTTTAGATACATATTGAAACTCACAAATACAGAGATAACAC